TTAAGCCTGCGAATGATAGCTTAATCAGGGTCGTTCCCAATAATGTCAAGTGTGAGATTTGTATATTGTAATCCACATGATTATATATGGGGAAGTTCAAATGAGAACACCTTAAAGATATACGATACAAGAAAAAATTGTGGATAATTGTTCAATTAAATCCAACGATCATTATTAAACTACAGTTTTGGACTTACAAGTGCAATAAAGTCATTTGAGTTTTAGAGAAAGATGGAAACCGCACTTCACTTCATTATTCTCCTTTTCTTCTTTGCGATTGTTCATGGTTTGAAAGGTTAGTGGATGTGTGTTCAAAGAAAAAGGAGAGAGACCGTTCAATCGATATCTCCTTCCTTTGGATCGTCTCCCTTGGCTAGTGGTTTGACCTCTTTTCCTCTTCAGTGTCATATTTATGTAGATACCAAGTTGTTCAAATGAACAAAATTCATTGTTGCACCAGCAAGTTCTATTTAGTGGAGCAATTTGGTTTTTACATGAAACATGACGACGAATAAAAAGAAGAGATCGAGCCACCCATAGGAAAAATGATACAGAGGAAGGAGAGTTTGATCGGACGATTTCTGAAACCCTCTAATTTTTCTTTGAACTTAAGCCCAACACCCTTTGTAAACCAAATCCAACGACCATTATTAATCTACAGTTTTAGACTTAGGGGTCGTTTGCCAAACACCTACCCGGTAAGCACTTACCGGTAAAATTCAATACTATTATTTACTTAATGGATAAGATTTTAGTCAACAAAAATGGCTTTCTATGCGACAATTACCCGGTAAGAGCTAACCGTGATAAGAGTCATTGTCCTTCACTTACCGGGTAAGTCTCTCAATCTTTACATCGTTCTTACTGGATAAGATTTTTGGTCATCACCATATTCATCTAATATAACTTGGTAAACGATTACCCATGTAATTATTTGACAAAAGCCACCTTACAATTGCAATATAGAAATTTGAGTTTTAGAGAGAGAAGGCAACCCCATGAGATACTCAAAACAAATTTCATATTATGATAATACAAGAGATTGAACGATATATATTTTAATATCATTAAACAAATATCATCGATTAAGTGGTTGTTGATGAACACAAGTTTAGGGTTTATTTCGGCCGCTCATTGGAGACTCCGACCGGCAAATCAATGGTTTCATCGGGCCATTCGAGATGTCTTTACTGTTCAATATTCACGGTCCGTAATCAGATTTTTGGTAAATATCATCATCACTCATCATAGAAACGACGGTAACCATCATCTCTAATATAATCAAATATGCATCTCTTACGTGATAAGAATAAAAAAAACAGAAGACGAAAAATACAATGGATGATCGATAAACATGTAGTTTTAATTTAACCTAAATATATAGGGGGGAGGGGGTTCGTAGATCCTTTGAACATACATAACTAGTTACTGGTGCCGACGAGTAGCAGCGGCGGCGGCGGCGTGACGGGAAGGAAAGGAAACCCACGGGAGGCGAGAGAGTTTTTTCACCGTGGTAATTCTGATATTCATAGGGAAGAAGGATGATTAATTTGAGGGCTTGATGACGTGACATGTTCTTCCCCACACGTTACTTTATTTTTAATAAAAAGATATCGAAATCATTTTGAGATAATATGTTAGGATCTCCAGAAGTTTCTGGATGATTTTGGGGTTTTTCTTATATATTTTTGAAATTTTGCTTTAAAATAGATAAAATAAAAAAAGAGGGTGAAATTTGGGATATTTTTTAAAATAGTTTTTTAATATTTAAAATAATAAAAATTAATTGAGATTAGATATTTAGGAAATAGATAATAATATCTTACTAAAATGTTATATTTTTAATAATATAAAAAATTATAGAGTTACATAAAAAATTAAGAATTGTTTTGAGTAAATTACCCGGCAAGTAAACGATCAAGTTGAATTTTACTGTTAAGCGTTTACCGGATAAGTGTTTAGGTAAATAGCCCTAAGTTAGTTTAACAATATAGTTATTGTTCTTAATGAGCTAGGTAATTTATGAAGCAGGTGCAAATATGACAATTTTCCAGCTAAACACTCATTATATGCAAACAACTAAACCTGATTGTATGTTTGAACATGATCCCTCTAAAGAGAACTTGTCTTCAAAACATCTCTTAGGGTTGTTATGACCTCAAATGGTGTTGCCTCTATGACATCATCATCCTTGTTAAACGTTGAATCCATTACAGAGAAAATCCTTATACAAGCACTGTTTTATCAAAGAGTATGGTATTAATGAAATAGATTTCATCCTAGTTCCCATATATTGAATCTCTAAGGTGTCGTTTACCAAATGCTTACCCGAGTAAGCACTTACCAAGTCACTTTACTTTACCGGATGAATATGGCAAGGACTAAGAATCTTACCCGATAAGAGTCAGGGCAAGAATCGAGAGTCTTACCCGGTAAGTGATGATGACGACTCTTACCATGGTTAGGGGCTTACCGGGATAAATTGTTGCATACGATACGTTTTAATGAATAAAAAATCTTACCTAGTAAGTAAGCGATTGTGTTGAATTTTATCGATAAGTGCTTACCGGGTAAGTATTTAGGTAAACGACCCCTAAATCTTTTAGGATACGAGTGGATGATACCTTGGGATGATCCATGTGGACCGTAAAGGGATCGTCATTGACCTGTCCAGAGAAATAAATAATCAAAATGAGGTAAACTATAGCATCACATAGAGTGCTAGTATGCAATTAACTGGCAGAAAAATAGAAATGAAGCCTCCACTCACCATTTCTGTTATCCGTAACCGCCCATGACCGATAAGACCAACCCAGTCTCCTTGGATACTTGTAATCTTTTTAAAAGGATTAAAAGTTGATTACATGTAGTACAAAATATATAGAAGCTCAACAAGTTTACCACAATTACTTAACAGTTGCATCACAACAGATACCTGAAACCGTGTACCAACTTCATGGAGACGATTAAACAACTATTTGCCCTTGAGCTCATATATGCTTTTCTATGTATCTGAACCTATGGCCTCAGATCCTGGGTCATCTTTTACAAGAAAAGCACCAACATAAGGATCCTGGCGTTTATAAGGTAGTTAAATATAGATAAATTGTACCAATGGTTACAATAAGTCACATGAAAAGCACCCAATATGGAAAAATGAAGAAATGAGATCACTACAATTTCACTTACTGTGTTTATGGAAAATCCATCCATCACCAAGTTCCATCTCCATCATCCCAATAAACTTCTACACCTGCCATTATAATTTCACTTAGAAGAGAATAGAAGAGTGGTCTAAACTAATTTTGTTAATATTAAAGAAAAGATTGTATATTTAAAAAAAAAACGTTTATTATACCTTTTTAATATGAGCAAGAGTATCACCATTCAGTACCGACATAAGATGCCCCTCTTTCTAATGGGCATATATCAACAACTTTTTCATTAAGCCAACTCATAAGCATAAAATCCACGAATGATGAATGAGTAAAGGCTACATCCAAAAAACTAAAGACAGAAAATGAGTAATCCATTTGTTTAGATAAGTTTTCCCTATTCTTAGTTCTTCATTTTATGTGTCCAAATTGATCTCAGATCAAGTAAATAGAAAAACTTATTTGTTTTTTGATTACCATCACATAATGAAAATGAGCCCAAAAAATAAGAAAGTTCAATAACGAAAATCGTTAGTAATGCAAAACATGAATGTACCTTGAACCCAAGTTTCATGGGCCTTCTTATTTTCTTCATCTCCCATAGCAAACTTAAATCCACAAGTATGAAAAGTGCGTAATAAAAACACATCTTGACCCAAATCCAAGTGTAGCTATACATACTTCCTTTTTCTTGTTTAGAACTTTTTCTGATTTCGCTACCACCAATGGTTCTGTCTTGAATGAAGATTCTTTGGATGTTTCCCATAAACCATCTATCTTCAACTTGCGAATCAGAAACAACAACAGATGTATAACTTACTACCTGCATCATATGACGTTGCTACAACACCTTCCATCATTTTAAAGAGAACCCATATAAGTTAAACACCTAATGAAAGATGAACAAAATGGTGAAGCTTCACTCACAAAATAGAACCCAAATTCTCTCGCACATTTGATCAAACACCTTATTTGCATAAAAAATACATACGAACAAACTTTTATCCCTCGACATTCATGTCGATGAATTCACTTTAGGTGCTGGTCTATGTTGATTTCCAACATCTATCACAAAGGTTCTTGCTCATATTGCATTTCATCGATTAAACATGTAAATGCAAAACAAAACAAAAATGAGAAGTGATGGAAGAATCGAATCAGGAGATAGATATGAAAGCAAGATTGAAATTGTTGGAAAACAAAAATAAATTATAAATTACCTTGATGGATGAGCGATGAAGGACTGAGGAATCTTTGAATCGATGTACACACATAAGTGGATTGATAGTGAACCCTAACCATTTACATAATCACAGTTTGAACCGATTACCTGGATCGAGGAGGGATGCAATAAACCCTAACCATTTACATAATCAGAGTTTGAATCGATTACCTGGATTGAGGAGCAATGGAAGGATCGAGGAGCGATGGAGAGTATGGAAATCGATTTTCTAAACGGCTGCTTCGGGAATCATCGTTTTGGAGAGCGCAATCTGAACGAAGCAGGGAGGCCTCTCTTGGAAGATTAAGATGTTGCCGCTTTGGAATAGTCGTTTTAAGAGTAGTGTTGCTATTGTGTATTAAGATGTTATACTCTATGCTAATTATATTGTAATTAAGACTTTAAGACTTTATGCATTATAAGATAATGCCTTAAGATCAAATGTTGTTTTAAAACTTTTAGTAAATTTGTTTTATAAAATAATATAAATTAAAAGGAAAACAAACAACCCATACGTTTTCTACAACCCACAAGTTGGAAAAAAATCCAAATCCAAATTCCAACTCACCTCATTTCAACCGACTATTATTAACAGCGAACAGAATATTAAAAGGTGCCATGGCAACCATTCACCCATGGCGGCTCGACTCCTTAAGGCGATAACCATCGCATCTTCTTCATCACCGCCGTCTGTTTCCCGACAGATGCTGAATGAAGCCTCACCTCTGATAGCCATCTTTTGTCCTAGCTTGTCTAAGGTTAGGTGGACTTCGACTTCGTCTTCGTCGGAGGACGACTCGGCGACTGCTGCTAGGAATCCCAATAAGAAGATATCTGAACGTCTCTCCGGTGTTATAGACGCCGTCAACGACCGGAAGCTACCCCCTGAACTCCGTGGACAGCGCAACAATGTTAGGTATCTTGTCTCTATTCTAATCGTGATGTATAGGATTCTGGATTCACGAATTATCCTGTTCTTCTTGACATTTAGATGCAATTAATCGTAATTCGAATGTTTATGTTCAAGCAGTAAATCCTTAAATTAGGAAAATCCTTGTTTCTCACAGGGATTTCAAAGTTAGGGTTAGTTTTTTACGCTTATGAACGATTATGGAGGCAGATCAAAATAATTGAGACATGTGATTCCACATGCGTATTGAGAACTCGAGAAAATTTCTTCAACGATAATAGTTCATAATAGTTATAAAATTACTTAGGCATTTAAGACTTTTGGAAGGATGAGGGGAAAGGAGGAAGGAGAAGAGTCATCAATGGACGTTCTTCCAAGAACAAAGTAGTCTTATAAAGGTTAACACAAAAAGATAACTTTGCAACTAATTCAGGGATTACAGAAGTTTTTTACCCCTGATCAAGTGTAGATTGAACTGGTTTAGGACTCCATTTCCTTTCGTAGACAGTGATTTGTGAAAACGTAAATGCTTAAGGAATAGCATAAAAACTTATTGATGGAGCTATTCACCTGACCAATTGAGACTTAATTCCATTAAAAGGAATTAAAACAAAATTTTAGGATAAAGGGATACTAGAATTGAAGCAAACATGATTGATAAGCATTCTATACATAGTTAAGAATGAAGTTTGAGATAGATGAGCTTATCTCCCAGACAGATGCTCGTTTTAAGGGACTGTGGGAAAAACTTGTAACCAATGTTATGATTCGAACACACATTTCTTTGCGTATTCTAGTGCTATATCATAAAAGGGACTGTCGAATATGGAGTGATCAGTGATTATAACAAGAACTACGTAGAAAAGATGGCCAAATAAACTTGTTTTTCCTCCCCGACTCTAGTGATGCGGAGGAGTCATGATATACATTGAACACCTTTTAACATGATCATGGTAGTGATCATGGTAGTAACTCCTGTCTACTTCTTTTTGACATTTGATCAGGTCAGAAACTGATATAATGAATGTTGTGGAGCGAAGGATTTGGCGTTCTATGGAGGAGGGTCATTTTGAGAACCTGCCAGGGAAGGGCAAACCCCTAAATTTGAATAGCAATCCTCATGCTGATCCAGCTGAAGACACATTATATAGGATACTGTCGAAGAACAAGTGTGCACCAGAGTGGGTGGAACTAAACAAGGAAATCAGGACCAACGTTGCTGAATGGCGATCAACCTTAAAGAAAGCATGGGCTCGCAAGGAGAGTGGAGATATGTCCAAATGGTTTGAATATTCAGATTCTTTGAAACTTCAGCTGCACAGCATCAACGATAAGGTTAGTGATAATCTGTATTCACTATAATACCTAAAATGTCTATTTGTTCTAATAGAATGTTTTATAGGACTTCAGCGACCAAACAATAAAGCATACTATCTAAAAATGTTACAATAGGTTTATAAAAAGTTTTTGGGCCTTTTAACAATTTTGTAAGGATATTTTAAAAATAAACTGTCATGTTAGCTATATATTTTTAAAAAAAGGCACTATTTGAAAAGTGCCTCTGTATTAAAAGATGCTCTGCTGGAAACTTCTAAAAATGTCTTATAAAATAGCTAATACTACACTTTATTTTAAAAATGTCCTGAAAAACTTGTTAACACTCGGCGTTCAATAAACCTATTGTAACACTTTTAGATAGGACATTTTATCGTATGGTCCTATAAACTTAAAGGCTATAAAGCCTTCGATTAGGACACTTAGACATTTTAGGTGACTTGAAAACCCGATTTCGCTATAGTGATTTACATGATACCGTTCTTTCTAAGTCGATATGTCACTATCATTAGAATACTTTTTTTTGCTGATGAGAGATAAACAACATTTTCTTCTATTTGTTCTTAGGATTGGTAGTTACGTACATACAATGACCGAGAGAAACAAAATAATTGAACACTTGCCTATATTCATATTTCATGAATTCTAACAGGTAAGCACCAATTATAAGCCACGGGCAGATAGAAAATGGATAAGACAGGCTATGTTTGGCAAACTACTTGATAAGCTAGCTGGTAGTTGCAAGGTTTTAAAAGGCAGAATCGGGCCTCGAGGCGTTTTCTGTCAACGAGGCGGAGCGTAAGCCGCGAGGCGATCTGAGGCGTAAGCACGAGGTAGAAATATAGATACACCAAAATACGTATATATACTACACAAATATATATACATTTGTATATATATATATTATATATATAATACTAAATTACTTAAGAGGCGTTGGTTCAATGGTTCTTGACATATGAAAGAGTGAAACTGGGAGACAAGCTGAGAGGGTTTGGAAAAATTGGTTTGCTTGGAGGAAGAGGAAGGGTCCAACCATACTTTTTGATTGAGAGGAGAAAGTACCAGCTTTTTGGGTTTTAAAATATTAAAAATACACATTAGGGCCCTTGTGCTTTGACTTTGAGTTTCTAAAAATACAGAAAGTCTTATACTATAAAGAGAACTACTACTAATTCTATAAAACTTAAAAAAGGTCAAAAAAACCCATTACCTCGCCTCACGCCTCACTGAACCAAGGCGTAAGCCTCGTTCAGGGTCCAAGAGGCGTCACCTCAGGTGCAGTTTTGGGCCGTCTCACCTAGAGGTGTTAGCCTCAAACGATTTTTAAAACCATGGGGAGTTGATAAACTAGATGATGAACAAATTATATTTGACAATTATATGACCAAAAAAGACATCTTGGAAAAATAGTCATTTCAAATATTTCATAATACAATTCAAATAAATTTCTAATAATATAATTAAAAAAATTATAATTATATAATATGTTAACTAATACAAACATGATAGTAAAGAAAAATTAAATAATATA